TAACGCCTTCATTTATTATTGCGAATTAAATCATACTTAATCCTTTCTAGAATTTTTTCGAGGAAATAAGTGTTTAAGATTTACTTCGTAATTTTTAATACAGATATTTTGAGTTTTTACGTATTTTTGCCTTGTTGCGAAATGAGAACTGAATTAAGTGAATGAGAAATACTGGATCGTCTGTGAAAAAGTGTTTCTTTTTTGTTCTGTTTTCTTAATTTCTTTTATACAACGTTCTAGATTTATTATAGTATTTGAATAGAACATGTGGCAATGATTAGATAATTCTTCAAATGATATCAAATGATATAAATTTTGTGCATTCTGAGTTATAATTTAAGTGTAAATAGTTTTTACTCTTGTGAAACGTGTGTCAATGTACTACAAATTGTGTTTTTTATCATTTTACTTCATGTCAATTATTGCTTATCAGAAAAATAATACCTTATAATACATCTTGCAAGAGATGTCGCCACCAAAGCTCCAGTCAACTAAAATGCTTTTCATCCCTACTAATAGATGGTGCCACATGAGCCCACATTTGTTCAAAGTTCACTCATTCTACGGATGGGGGCACAGGAGCCTCCATCGCTAGTAATCTCTGAGTTTTAGCACAGCATGTGCACAAGTACAGGGGTTGAACAAAAATATGGAAACACCTTTAAAAAAACATGTTTCTTTGCTTAATATGGTGTAGGAAACCCGTTTGCATCCAAAACAGCTTGCAGTCTTCTTGGAATGGATAAATACAGTTCCTGTATGTTTGCCAAGGGAATATTATACCATTCTTCCTGCAAAATGGTGGCAAGTTCAGATAACAATGTTGGCGATGGATAACGAGAACGCACTTTCCGTTCCAATGTAGACCACAAAAGTTTGATAATATTCAGGTCTGGTGACTGTGGTGGCCAGGGGAGATGGGACAACTCATCCTCGTGCTCAAAAAACCAGTCCTGGACAATGTGAGCTGTGTGAACAGGGGCTTTGTCGTCTTGGAAGACACCATAGTATATATAGGCTTGCTCACACTTATTCTAAAGCAAAAACACTTATTTTGTTAAATCTAATGATTTAATTTCTTTATTTTTAGTATCTGCAAAATCCGTACCATAACTATAACATACCACAACCTATTAGATACTTCACAAAATAGCATGAAGTATATAACAGGTTATCGGAAAAGAAAATTAACTGGGAATATATACATATTTCAAAAAAAAAAGATAGAAGCAAAAATTCGAAATATCGGAAGCAAAACTATAGGAGAAAAATCTGAAGCTATTTGGAGAAATCAACAAAAAAGAAAATCATCACGAAGAAATTAGATAACATCGACAACGAGAAAACGAGAATGCAGAAATTTCGGAGATAAATATTGAATTGTCAGAAAAAAATAACAATCCTCCATATGGGAAAAAATGAAAAATCTTAATATGATTTGAAAATCATTATGAAATTATAATGATGGAAAATATGGAAACACCTTTAAACTGAACCACAACTGAACTGTTTAGCACATTTACGAAGTTGTATAGGTGGCGTCAGTAGTCAAAAATGCAAGCGCCACCTACATATTTCATTAAAATCAATCTTTCTTTTCAAACATGCATTTCACAAGGTGTTTCCATATTTTTGTCCATCCACTACTTCTGCAAGCAATCTTTCGTATCTTACGATCCTTGATGGACTTACGGTGTTTCTTATTTGCCTTCACACCGAGGGTAAAATAGCCGTTTTTAGCATTTTAGTTGTTTTATGCTGTATGTATTAACCCCTTCGCGCCGACTGTCACGTATACGTGCCAGCAACGAACGCACTTACCTACCGGCCAACACGCAGGCGTGCCAGAGGATTGTTCCATTCTCTACCGACTGTCACGTATTTGTGCCAGTACTTTGGAACGTTTTTCAAACTATAATTTCTGTCACAAGATGGCACTGTATGTCCATATGGTTTCAGATACATAAAAATTAAACCTTCTACTCGAAATGAGAGAAGCATGACTCACATACACGTGTTTTTGATTATATAAACAAACGGGGAAATAAATGTTTCCGAATGGCGTGATTTATGACGTCTCTTTAAATCGCACTTTATTCGCACGTGGTAGTTGTTTACTGTAAGTAGAGAAGTTTTATTTGCTCTAAAGCTTTGGGTAATTAGGTTTGCAGTTTAGTTTTTAGAAAATAATTAGATCTTGTTAGACGTGAATTCTTTGTTTTTACCGTTGCAATGTTGAAGCGTCGAAAATGTTTAATAGAGCATGAAATAGCAGAAATGATGCAAAATATTTCAGATATTGATTCTGAAATTCTGATATTGATTCTGAAAGATTAACTGAAAGACATTTTCCAAAACTTTGTTCAGAAGAGACTGATAAGAAAATGAGACGACGATGCTTCGTTTGTTCACATTCCCGGAAAAATCTTCCAAAACGGCAAATGAGTTATTATGAGTGCAAGGAATGTAACGTAGGACTGTGTGTAGATCCCTGTTTTCAAATTTTTCATACGAAAAGAAAATTTTAAGTAATATATTTAGTTTTCAGATGTATAATGTTAAAATTCATAAAATGGTGAGTAATTAAAATAAAATGTGTAAAATATGCATTTAAACAAGAAATAAAGTAATTAAAGTATATATATAAAAATATTTATAAAGCATAAGCCGTTTAAATACTCTATAGAGCATTATTAAACAATGCGTTGATACTTCGGAAATTTCATGGATTTAGGCTTAGTAGCAAAAAAGCCCCCGGCCCTGGAGAGATGCTCGCGTAAGACACTGCCGGCCTCAGCGATAAGTGCGCGTTTTCGCTACCCGGCTCGAAGGGGTTAATAGTACTATATGCACAGGGACATTCTCGTGGTACGATTTACTAAACTGTACTAAGCATAGGAATGCTTCAAATGGGTATAAAAATATAGCAGGTAATGTTGTTTTTCCCTCTGTGTGTATGTGTGTGCATGCTGTTGTGTGTATGTTAATAACTACTGATTCTTCAGTAGAAATATTCATACTACCTAGCATTCATCCATTACCTAACCTCCTAAGCATTTCTTTTCTCATTTCCATTCATTGCAAAATTTCTCAGATTTCCCAGAGCTTACTGTTATTTTATTTGTTGTTCATAAGTTGTCTTTACACTTTTTGGGGGGGGGTTACTTTCTTTCCTTTATATTTATATATACCCTATGTTAATTTTTTAGCCTTTGTCAGTTTATAATATTCTTTGTTATACAAGCACACTAAGACAATTGTTATTTTCCATTAACAAATGTAAATATGTTAAGAAAATAGGAAATAAATAAATATTAGTTAATAATTTTTTAATTCTATTTTTCACTATGTTGCATTCCTTGACTTGTAATCTAATTTTCTTCTGTAATAATAATACTTAAATCCAGAAATGTATGTGCACAGAATTATAGAAAGGATTTGCTGTTTTGCCGCATGAAATGGATTAAGGTTTTTAATTCCTCATATAAAAAAGCTACTGTTTTGCCATTCATTATGATGAAAATATGAAATAAACAATCCTAATGTTACATAATAGTTATCAGGAAAGAAAGATAGCCTAGGTTATATAAAAATTTTTATAAATATTTGTATAAATAAAAATATGTAAAAATTAAGGTATTTGGAGGGTCTTAACAATTAATGGTTAAGCTTAGGAACCTAGATTTATTTTCTGATCACAATATACATTGAGTGTTTTGAAGTTTTCCTTATGTGTAACTTATTGCAAACCAGTTTCTCCAAGTGTATTTCACAAAGTCTGTCTCTTTCTTTCTTTCTTTTTTTTTTTTTTAGAATTCACAAAGTCTGTCTTGATCATAATTAATTTTAAGATAACTTTCTCGTGTATCTCTAAGATATTTGGAAAATAAGATTGCAGACTTATTTTCTGTAAATACTCATCTTGAATGTTAAATAACTAGTTAAACTTCCTCAAAAATAACATAGAAGATGCTATGAATTCAGTTTAAGCACTTAGAAGGGGTGGGGTTGAATGGTTTTTGGTTAGTGTGGAATTTAGCTTTTTGTATGATTCCCATGGAGTTTAAAATGTACAGCAGGTTAATTAAATGAACTGTATTAATTGAATGAGTGGTTTTCTTCGATATGTAACGTAAGTGAGAGCAAATTTCTTTCAATGAAAACATTCCTTGCTTTAGAATGATAGTCTTAGACCTACAGTTTTAGAACATAAGATAGATAGTTTTAAACCATAACACTCAATCATATAGTTTTAGACCATAACACTCAGGCTGTAACACCACAGTCTTAGACTTATAGTGTTAGACCATAAGACTGATAATCTTAGATTGATAGCATGCTTTACCATAATCAGTATATCCAATCTTAGCTAAATAAAACAATTTAAGACAAAATATAAAAATAGTGAAACACTAATAAAATGAAACAACATAACTGAAGTTAAATAAGAATGAACATTTTATTTCCTAATGGCCAAGTGAGTAAAGCTGTTGAATATGAAACAGTTGATTTAATACCTGCTGTAGCAAAAGGGGAAGCTGTTTGGAGGGTTTTTTTTTTTTTCCCTCATCATGTAAATATGAGTCAGCTACCATCGACAAGGGCTGCATAAAATCTGTATGAAGATTGAGTACTTTAATAGAATTCATTCAGTCTGCATCACTTCTTCGAAAATGCACTAAATTTCCTTTAAAAATTCCTTCAATTTATTTTTATCAAGAATGGAAAAGTTTTGCTTCAATTCTGATTCACTAATGCTTGATATTATTCCATTTCAATAGTTATTGATGGTGTTAAAACATGGTTGAGGTATCATCCGTATCTGAAACATTATAAAAATCTAAGCTTGTGAAATTATTATTTTACTGTGTATGCATAATTGATATAAAATCTGTGTCTCAGACTATAACATTTCAACATTTCTTTATTAATGTAGCATATATATAAGTTGCTTTAGAAAAGTTGGGTGTAGTTTTGTACATTTATGTATTCGTTTTCAGGTAATAACAGAAGAAGTTTTCATGAATGATATTTTATGCCTAGGCACTTCTAAAGAAGATTTATTAAAATATATTTTAACAAAGGAGGATCATAAACTTGTTCCAGATCCCCCAACGTTTAATGATTTTTTAAATGTTGTTAAGGAATACATGAGTTTATAAAAGTTGCCAGAGTAAGTTTTTGCCAGAGTTTATAAAAGTTGCCATTGAGCAATGTAATATTTCCACCACTCTTTGCTTTTTTCTTTTTCTTTTCATTTCTTCGTTTTCTGTTTTCTTAAAATTAAAAAATAAAGTTTATGTAAATTTAATTTATTATGCTTTAATTTTTTCAAATTATAAGCTTCATTTACATACATTTTATATTGAAAACAAATCTTTATTTCCTACAAAAGTTTCTAATTTTGCATGAATTAAAAATGTTCATGTATTTTAAAACGTGTACTATATACTGTACAAAGTTTGAAATCCAAACGTTCAATACTCGGACCACGAAATATTTTTAACGAAAAAAATAAATAATGAAGGAAGGAAAATAATGATTTAAAAAAAATTCCACCATGCTTTACAAGGTCTAGGAATGGAGAAATAACACTCAACAAAAGGAAACATGAATGCCCTAAATGCAATTTTTCTTCCAACTAAGTTTTCTGTAAGTCATTTTCAAGCTCCTGGTAGCTAGGAAGTCACACTATCGCGTGACAGTACACTCACGGAGGTTGTATTGTTGTTGGTCATTGTTTTGGCCTCTTCGGTCATTGCGGTGATTTGTAGCCAGAGGGCGCAGCGCACAAAGAGTTAGTTGCGTAACAGAACGTAAGGGGAGCGGCCGCGCCAAAAATGTCGGGCGTATTACTGCTAATTGAGGTAATTGCATCGTATCACTTAGGTGGCAGAAAACTAGTATGATGTATCAATTTACATCCCAGGTGGCAGAATATGAGAATCATGTATATGCCAGGAGGCATAACGCTTGCAAACATGCCAGGTGGCATACGGCTTGTAAATAGATTGTAAATAAATGTACAGTAAAATATCTTGGTGCAATAGATCAAGGAACACGCATCAACAACCTTCTGATCATTTGGAACTTTTTTTTTTTTTTTTTTTCTTTTTTTTGATGACCCAGACATGATTTGTGGAGATAAGAATGGACGAAGAAAAGTAGTGAGTTCATGAAAATTAGTGAGTTCATGACTGAAAAGCTGGGATTTAACGCGAAGAAATTCGAGGTAGGCCCTTTTTCATTTTTCCAGTTTTGAATAGAATTGTTGGATAAAAATCTTGTTGATTATTATAGTTGATAGAATTTAATAGTAAAATGGAGGCTATGAATAAGGCAAAGAAGTTGCGTACGGTTGCGCGTAAGTTAATTACCAAGTTGTTGAGTAAAATAGAATCTGCATTGTTAGAAGAGGGTGAAACCGCAGATGAGAAATTAAAAGAATTACTTGAAATGCTGCTTGAAAAATCGCAGTTGTTGAAACAATACGATTCTGAGATTGAAAAACTTATAATTACGGAACAGGGTTAGAAACAGAAGTAATTTCCGCGCAGGAATATCAGGAAAGAATTATAAGCTTTAAATGTAAAATTCAGGAAAAAATAAGAAAAAACGCGTGTAAAGTTGAATCTAGAAATTCTAGTGAAGGAAACTTGTATCTTGCCGAAAGTTGAAAACTTGTGAAGTTAATACTTTAAAATTGCCAAAATTAACGATTACTAAATATATTACAGGTGATCCTTGTTCTTGGCTTGAATTCTGGAATCAGTTTTGTAATTCCATTCACCAAAACGAAAGTCTCAGTTCGGTTGGCAAGTATGTTATTCAAAATCGCTGTTGGAAGGTTTATCTTTAAATTGCTATTAGTGGATTATCATTTACTAGTGAACACTATAGGGTGGCTGTTGATATACTAAAAACCGTTTCGGCAGAGATGACCTGCTAATTAATGCGCATATGAATAAATTATTGAGTTTAGAACCTGTAAAATATTTCGAAAATACGGCTGCTTTGAGGAAACTGTATGACGATATAGAAATACAAATAAGAATTTTTAAATTCCTTAAATGTTACTAGTGTTTCTTATGGACATTTATTATCCCCTATTTTGTTCAAGTTAATACCCTAGAATTTAACTCTAGAATTCACTAGGAAAAGAAGTGATAAACAAAATGTCAATGTTGATGAACTACTAACGTTCTTGAAAACGGAAGTGGAATGTAGAGAAACATCAATGATGTTAGCGCGTTCTAATAATTTTGAGGTAAATGAAACATCAGTACGAAACAAAAGTTCCCATCAAGGTTATCAAAATAAATCTTACATGCATTCTAAAAGAAATGATTACAGTACGAATAAGCAAGGTGCTTCAGTATTAACTAGTCAAAGCGAAACTCCCTCTAAATACTGGCAAAAATCACATTTTAATCACAATCGAAAGTTCTCTACCGCGCCTAAGAAAGAAAATCAAGATGTATGCATATTTTGTTTATCTGCTTGTCATATGAATCATGATTGCGCACTTGATTTAAAGGCTCGCCGAAAGGCATTAATGGATCGAGGTTTATGTTTTATTTGCTTTTCGAAAGGGCATTCAAGGCGTTTCTGTGCTTATAAAGATGAAAAGTACAGACTGTGCAATGTCCAAGGTTTACATAATTCGTTAATATGTGACGCCGCATCGAAAGATTTAGAGATGGTTACCTCCATTCAGACAAAACAAACGCCAATCCCTGAAGCTTCTCTTTCGCTCTTATGTAATGAACATAATAACAAAATTAAACCTCCGTTTTCCGTTCTTTTACAGACGTTTTCGGCGACAGTGAGGTGTAAAGGGGGAAACGAAACGTTATTACGTTCTATGCTAGATTCAGGGTCAACAAGGTCATTCATCTTACGAGAAGTGGTTGATTCACTGGGTTTGAAAATTATTAATACAGAAGCGCTTATTATTTTCACATTTGGATGCAAAAGAGTGCTTGTATGATATCGTAGAAATAGTATAGCAGAATGTAAACAGTCCCAATAAAAAGATAAAAATTAATGCAATAGTCATTGATTCTATAACACTAGGGCAAGTAAAAGTTCCTTCTCGGTGGATACAAAAGATGGCGTTTGAGAAGGGAATAGAATTAGCAAATAGTGGTATGAGTAACGAAATTCAAGTATTAATAGGTTCGGTTTATATTTGGGAAATTGTAGGAGGAAGAACCGTGAAGATTTGTAAAAAATTATTCACAGCAGAAAGCACTTTCGGTTTCGTGATTCAAGGCAAGGACGAAGGATCAAATTGTGAGGACGCAAGAGTTAATCATATAACCGTTATAAATGAGGACTTCGATTACGAAAGAGTTAAAAAATTATGGGAGTGAATAAGTTCGGATAAAGAAATATCTCGATCAGATAAAGAAATTTTTGAGTCATTTGAACGAAATACAACTTACGAGAATAAAAGGTATGAGACTCGATTATTGTGGAAAGATGGTGTTGGAGGTTTAAATAACAATTATGAAATCGCGAAACAGCTTTTACTATTTTTAAATAATAAGTTTTAAAAAAAATAGCGAGCTATATTTAAAATATAATGAGATAATTAATGAACACATGAGAGATGGTGACTTACTACTGGTTTCCAAAGAAGAAAATTATTCCCTCTGGAAGCAAGAGAACAGCTTGCCCGCACGGCTGTCTGCCTAGACTCTCAGCTCCACCAAGGAAAACAGAAGGAATTATGTCACCTTGCACAAATGAAAACCTGCGTTAGCCATTCTCTAAAATACCTAGCTTAATTGTCTACGTTTTCATTTCAGAATGGTTAAAAGAAGTTGAAAAAATAAAGTTTTTCGAAATTCCCAGACAGTACAGTGATATGTGTTGGAGGTTTATAGACGTTCACATATTTTCTGATGCCAGTCCCAAGTGTTATGGTGCTGTAGCGTATTTTAGATTTGAGAAGAAAAATAAATGTAATACAAGTTTCATAATGTCGAAATCCCGTTTAACTCCATTAAAAAAGGTAACACTCCCTAGACTTGAACTTTTGGGAACATTAATTTCTGCAAGATTAGGTTCGTATTTGCAATCGATATTTCCGCAGTTGGATTAAGGGAAATATATTTTACTGAACTGATTCCCAAATTTGCATTCACTGGATCAAGGGATCTGCCAACGAGTGGAAACAATTTGTTAGAAATCGTGTGGTAGAAATCAAGGAGAAAACAAATTTAAACAACTGGTACTTTTGCAGTGGGAAGACCAACCCTACTGATAAACTTACGAGGGGGATGAAAGCTGAAGCTCTAATTAATGATAGTGATTGGTTTTTCTGGGCCACCTTGGATTTCAGAAGTAGATATTCGACATCACATAAACGAAATGAATACCGAAGCTGACTTTCAAAACGTTAGTGAAGAACGAAAATGTGTTACTTTGAAAACACTTGTGGAATTTACAGAATCTTTATTAAATCTTGAACTGTACGGAAATTTAAACAATGTCCTGGGAATAATGGCTTATGTTCTGCGCTTCGTGAACAACTGTAAATCTGCTCGTGAAAAGCAATCTGGTGTGCTTACCGCGTATGAGTTACGGAAGGCTTCAGAATTTATTATAAGAAATGTTCAACTTAATGAATGTTTAGAAGAAATAAAGGCTTTAATGACAGGACAACCGATTAAAACTAGAAGCAAAATCATTTCACTTAATCCATTTCTAGATGAAAACGAAAATTTAAGAGTAGGAGGTAGAGTAAGAAACGCAGAAATTACCAGAGAAAGTAAACATCCCATTATATTACCAAATAATTATCACATCACAAAATTAATAATACAGCATTGTCACGAAAAACATTTACACTGAGGGTTACATTTAATGTTATCCGCAATAAGACAGAAATACTGGATAATAAATTCAAAGAATGAAACTAAAAAATGCATTTGGCAATGCATAAAATGTTGCAGAGTACGAGCAGCAACATCTACTCAATTAATGGGAGAACTACCTGCAAGTAGAATGATTCCAAGTAAAACCTTTTCAAAGGTTGGCGTTGATTATGCCGGCCCATTTTCTGTGAAAATGAAAAGTGGAAGAGGTATAAGACCAAATAAGTGTTATGTCTGTATTTTCGTTTGTTTAGCTACAAAGACTATCCATTTAGAGATTGCTAGCGACTTATCAAGTGAAGCATTCCTAGCTGCTCTAAAACGATTTGCTTCGAGGAGAGGAAAACCTCAAGAAATAA